AGGTTACTGGGCCAAATCATTGGTAATTATATAAGACAGAGATCATATTATTCTAAATATGACACATTAAATAAATGTAAAAAACTTTAAGCATTTCTAGTATTACTTGGTAACTTACTTTGTACCAATTAAAAGGAAAGCATTGTATCTCTTAATACTTTACTAAGATGCAAATGAACTGGAAAAATAGAAAATTAGGAAGATAGATGAACATTAGTTATTAACCCAAGACTTTTTAAAGGATATTATTGAACAAACTTGAGAAACAAAGCAAAAAAGTTTAAATACAATATTCTAGACCAGCATCACCACTTCTACAATTTATAAAACAGTTCACCCTTGATCAGAAACTGTCCTAAGTACTTGCGTTTCTACTCAGTTAAATCCTCATAATAACCCCAAAGTATTTACTTCACCTCCTCTAAAGTTTAAAAAAGTAACTTGCACAGGGTCTCATAACACAAAAGCAGCAGAGACAGGAATCTAAATTGGATTATAGACAGCGCTGACATTCAAAACTGAGGTATTCAACTGAGAAGAAAAAACTCAGGAATTAAAAGATTATAACAAAAAGTTTAGACAACATAAGGCAATAAATTATTAGCACCTAAAACATGGGGTTACCAATGTTTTATTTCGGTAATTTCAAATGTATCACTAAGAATAAAATCTCTCCTACCTAAATTCCCAATTCTAACTCTATTTTCACAATCTCAGGTTTCTAGGTAAATAATTCTTAAATTATTCTGAGAAACTATAACCTTGAAAAGTGAAACACACAGATAGAAACAATCTTTTGAATAATAAAAAGATTGAAATGGTAGGTCATATAAGAAAATGTACCATTACTTAAGGAAAATGAGTAACAGTGAAAGTAAAATGCAAACAAAGTGATAGAAAACATGGGCAGCTTACAGTTTAAAAAAACAAAATAACAAAAATTCCCACAATTGTCTACTTGCACAACAGTCTTTGATTCTAACACCTCAAATTAAGATATATGTCAATATTTAATAATGAAACAAAATAAATATGTAACAAATCAAGAAGTTATATACTGTACCTTGAAGGTAGAAACACTACACCATCTTGTGGTAACAAATGAAAAATGCAACCTAAAGCAAGCAAAACTTAAAGCTATCTTCTATAGAATCATAATATTACTAATTACCATTAAGTTATTTTAAAAATAAATCTGGTATTACATTTTTCATTTAGAAAAGTAAATACTGTCACTTACTTACAAAGTAACAGGAATATTTTCCCATGATCTTTCTGCTTCAAGTTTATCTAATGAGCATGGACTGCCATCCTTTTTCATAGACCTTGGTAATCCTTCAGTACATTCCTCTAAATTTCTCTTGGCCTTCAGGATAAGCAATTCAATTTTGTCACCTAATTTTTAAAAATTGTAATTAATTATTAAGAAAAAAATAGAAAGCATAACTACATCTCACAAAATAGTAAGATAATTTGGAATATACAATTTATAACAGCAAATTGTTAAAATGTGATCCCTCAAGTGAAGGTAAAGGAGAAAAGAGACATTAACATAGTTACAAAATGCTATATAAATGAAGAGTATAAGCTTTCTAAAAAGCAATATGCCTGCAACAAAAATAAAATAATAAAGGTTCATAGAAGGTAAATCAAATTTATAGTGCTTCCTTTGGTTAAAAGAACTAAAAATAAAATATTACCACTGAATGGCTTTTTGGATTGTCCTGGAAGTGGATTTTCACATTTATGTTGGCTATGTTCAGAATCACATTTGCATTCATTAACAAGTCTTTTATCATCACATAAGGATTTTGAAAAACTTGAGGGTTCCAAAGAACATCCCAAACAATCTACTTTATTCCTAAATCCAGTTCTTTGTGCCTGATAACTATGTCTAGGGGAACAATGCTCTTCTTTAGAAACCCTTTGACTTTTTGCATTAGGTAACAAGTCTTGATTGTGGAGCCAGACGGGATATTTAAAATCAGGAATACTAGTTATCCCTGAAACATTAAGATCAGATTTCTGGCTAGTAAGCCATCTTGGATAATTATTTTCAAGACCATCTTCTGAACTGTCCTTGAAAGATTCTTTAGAAAAAGATAATGATGAGTCAAAAACACATTTGTTAGTCTTATGTGTAAGTTTCGGGTTTTTTAGCCTGCCACACTGTTTTCTATTTGTGCATACAACCGGAGTAACTAAGTTATCCATGTCCACAGGAGTGAAGACCTCTTGAAAATTTGGATTTTTTTCAATGTCCAGTGAACCTGATCTTCTAATGTATTTCTTGCTTTTCTTTCTTGTTCGGTGACCTGGTCCAACAAAAGTGAAAGGAAATGATCCATCTGCAGGAAGTCTTAACAGATCATCAGTTGTTAGGCTAATGGAGTCTACCTCATTAATAGGCTCTCTTCCATAGGATAAGAAGCGTGAGTGCTCTTTGTGGTCAAGATTTTCAAAAGCTGAAAAACAAAACACAGTTTTGCTTATCTTCTTTTCACAACACACAAATACAATATCCAATAGCAAATATAAGAGCTTTATAATCCTTGCTGCTTTCCTCTTATCTAACCCTAAATGTCTTCTTCACGTCTTCAGTATTTAATTTCTACATATTCACCTCCAACCACCTGAGCCATCCAGTATTCTCTAAGTCACCATTTCTTCAATGTTTTTCATGTAGACATGCCTGACAGTCTAACACAATCATGTTAATGCTGGCCACTCAATATTGGTTGTAGCATAGAAAAAAAAAAATGTGCCATCAAACTAAAAGGAAAAATAGTGTGCTCTCTCTCCTATTCACCCTGTAACAGCATGGTTCCAGTGAAAAGTTGTGCTGTTTTCTTCTGAAACATACCATCCGCAGTTGGATACAATTTTTTTTTTCCACTCTAAGCCTATTCTGTTAAGTGCAGTAACATACTAACTAGTTTATCAATAACTACATTTTCCAGACTCACTTTCATGGAGGCTTTATCAAAGATAAACTATTGTCCCACACAGAACACACATCAAAGAGACAAATGGAATTTTTTCCCATCAGTTGAGACTGAGTAAGTACAACTTCAGAAAAGTTGAACTTTAAAATCATTAAGTTAGATAATGAAAGCCAGAACCACTCCATCAAAAATCAGTACCATTATGTTACAGTTAAATGAATTCTGAAAGGTTTAGAATCAACTACCTGCAGTTTATTAGTTACACTCATTAGCCTCCCCTCTAAGGTCCAAAGAGGATCTTAGCTGAAATTTCCTGGAGATCAGATAATTATACAATAACTTTACAAAAATATTCAGATATCACCAGGGAGATAGCTCAGCAGTGGCATAAGTGCCTGCCTGGCAAACACAAGGTCCTGAGTTCAATTCCCAGTACAAAAAAAAAAAAAAAAAAGACTATCAATATTATGTTATTTTTGGTTTTTTTTTTTTTTTTTTTTGCGGAACCAGGGATTGAACTCATGCCCTTGCGCTTGCCAGGGAAGCGCTTATTCCACTGAGCCATCTCCCCGGCCCAATGTTATTTTTATTTCAAAACAACAAAAACTGTCAAATTTATAAGGCTACAGGACATCTCTCAAATGCTTCAAATCACTACACATGATGAAAACAAAGAATAAAAAGCATACCATTGGTTGGTTTAGAAATATAACTGGAAAAGTGTGGAATATTAGCACCACTCTCATCAATGTTAATTCTTCCAGTGCTTGCACTAGGATACATCTGGCTTAGATCGAAATCATCAATATAGGCCTGTAGAGCCTGAGAAGCAGAACTGTACAGCTTATCCTTATAGTGAAAAGAGCCACCAGAGCTAGAGGAATTGCTACTACTTAGACTGCAGCTTGCCAGGAGAGAAGATACTGAAGATTCCTGAGAACGAACTCTGTGTTTTGTGTTGGATTTTGCCATGCTTCCTCAAATTTTTTATGCATTTCCCTTAGAAAACAGCTGTAACACAAAGATAATAGGATAAAGTGCCAATGAAAAGGAATAATATCTATAAGCAAAGAATATCATAAACTTAATTTTTTTAAATTAGGAATAAAATCATGTATCTATAATGGACAGTCCTAGTTGTGCACTGTATGATTTCTATTATCTACTGTGAATTATGTCATCAGTGATTTAGAAAACATTAAGCACCTACTACATGCCTGCATGTATATAAAAATTACATAAGCATATACACGGAAAAACCAAGGGAAAAAAAATACTGTTTTTTTAAAGTCCTGAAAACTACTAAGTCTTTTCTTCTCATGGCAATATATTCTATGACATCACAATATCCAATATTCCCCTTCCACATGCTATTTTTCAACCAGTGCCTACACTGAAGGTGATCAACACAAATGAAGCTTTAGAAACAAGGGGAGTTAGCAGATTTTTTGCCTAAAATCAAGACCGAATAATGAAGATTATGCACTTTCAATACTGAAAGCACCACTATGAAATTTTAACCTTTCCACAAAAAGGACTGGAGGACATTTTATAATACGTATCTGTAAAGTCTTAATTTAGAAGGAGGTAATAATGCCCTTTTCACAAAATAGCATTCTTAATAACCACTTCCAGATCTTCCTTTTGGTTACCACCATCCCTAATTTCCATTCTTATGTTAAACAGATTCAGCTCACCTCTCTTTTAAAGGAAGCTTAAAAAAATCAAGAAACAGGCAATGTATTTATCTTGCTCTTTTCCATTACTAAAATTAAGGTAACTACTGTCAATCTTAGTACAACAGGCCTTGCATTTGAAAATCCATTAAATAATAAACAAGGTACTCAGCATATTATATTAAATTCACTAACAATAGAATTATCTGTTCTAAAAACAGTAACTATGTCTTACTACATGTTGTAATGGTGTAAAGTCAATCATATTTAATGTTTTAATGTAATTTTGAAAATATGTAATTTATAACTTAATGTTATCTTAGCAACTGTCAATTTCAACTTCATGGGAATTTTTCAGAGATGAAGTATATCTTCCTGTAACAGCCATAGAGCATGCACTTCCAGATCTGACTGCAGTTACTGGAAGAAACAACATAAGATAACTATTTCACCTATCCCATGTCCCTGGATGCTCTAATGGAATATCTCTAAAGAATGCCTAGATTAAGTCACCTTTGCCCTTTACCTCCCCAAAAGCATAAATTCATTGAAGTAAATTCGGATAACCTTACCTGAACAGTTTTCTCCCTTATCTGACACAGAATAGATTGCCGGTTTTGTTTTACAAAACCTTAAAAAAGAAAAACCTTTAAAAGTCTTCAGTAAGGTGGTGATACCATTTACTATTATTTCAATTCACACGACTGACGGAAAATCTACGATGTAACTTTTCATTACTGACAGTTTTCAAACGCATGGAAAAACAGTTTAAGAAACTATTTTTTTAATGTCTTTGGTACAGGGTCTCGCTGCGCAGCTCGGACTCGTAGTGATCCTCCCGTTTTCAGCCTCCCCAGCGCTGGGATTACAGGCTGCGCCACCACGCCGGGTCTCCCAACTCCTAATCCTCAACACGCCCCCACCGCGGCGCACACCCCACCACCCCGACCACGGGTTCACCTCGAACCCCGCGCGCCGTGAGCAAACCCCATCCATCTCACCATTTCCTCCGCAAGGGCTGCAGCTCGCGTCTCCAAAAGCAAATCCATCACGGCAGATGGTTTACAGTTGAGGCAAGACATTTCTGCAACCTTGAATCAAAAACGGAGTATTTCGCGTGAAACAGCCCCGGGAACCCTGCGCGGGCAGTTCGCGACCACTCCCGCACGCTCCCCGCGCACCCCCGAGCGAGAAGGAAGCCTCGGAAAGCGCAGGCTGCGCGGGCCCGCGATGCCAACTCGGGCCGGGAGGGCTTCCCTGCCTCGCCTCGCCTCGCCTCGCCCC